CTTGTCTCCTTCTCTGTTCAAACTTCTCATTGGATCACAGCTACTTTAACATCTGCTTACTTTGGCAGGCCTTTGCTCGATATCAAATTGAACCCTTCATCTCCCCATGCTTTCATGTGTTACAGGGAAAGAGAGTCTTTTCTCCATAGCTTTACAAGAGGATTTCAGCCCCAAGATCAAGGCATCTCCTCATCACTCTCATCTGGGACTTCTCCACTGACCTTGGTGTCTCCAGGTTGCTCCTCTACATGCTTTCATCTCGTTCCTTTCTCTCACTCGAAGGGAGGATTGAATTACTGGAAGAGTTAACACCTCACCTAGGACAGATGGTCGCCCGACCTGCCGCTGGGCTTGTGGTGTGAGCTGCAGCTGGGGCTGTGTCAGGATCGGCTTCATGGACGGTCTTTGGTTTTCTCTGCATTCAATTCCAGCTGCAGGGCCACTCTGCACGGGCTGCAGGGCTGCCTCTGGTCTCAGCCGCATGATCTCATGCAGCAGCTGTGCTGCAGGGAGGGAGGGGACCTGGTGGCAAGATGTTAAAAGCCACAGCCCGGCCCTGCTTCGGCCAGGGACCCACAGCCTCCCCATCCATGCCTGGCAGCTGCTGGGGCCCGGCCAGGGCACAACCCGGCGGGCTCCCTGCAGAGGGGCCCGGGTCGGCCTTGTTACCTGTTCCCAGGCCAGAAGGAGAAAAAAGTTCCAGGGTTCCATTCGTTTTTAACATGTCTGTTTCACACAGCTTTCCAGTGGCTGGAAGTTTTGCATTACTTCCTTAAATGCCTCCCATGAAAACTCAGGACAATCTCACATTTCAGATTGCAGAAGATTATACTATCTGCAAAAGATTACATGATTTCTCCTCAAATTAGCTTCCCTAATCTCCATAGCAGATCTGCAGAAGATTATATTATTTATTCTCAAATTAACTTCTCTTCTGTAATCTCCACAGCACACCAGGAAACCATCATCCATCCATTGCTTTGATCTACACTTTTCTGTAGTTCAGGCATCGGGAGATTCCCTGGACACCCACATTTTAATTAATAAAAGCAGGTTGGATGTTAACTCCCAAGCCACCTCCTTCAAAATAAGCAAAGTGCCCAGCCTCACTCTATTTCTTTCCTACCAAATAAGCAAAGTGTGAAACATCCGCTCCTTATATCCAGCGCCCTTCTTCATGGGGGTAGAGTGCCATGAGTCATCCAAACTTCAGGCCCTCAGGTCTGCCTACATTTCTTTCAGGTCCTCAGGCCCGTTTAGATATAACTGCTCGAGATTCTCAGGCTCTTGGTTTGCCTTCAAGCTCTTGGACCCCTGCTCAGCTCTTCAGGCTCTCAGGCTCTGATTCTCCTTCAGCCTCCTGCTCTCTCTTGTCCTGCTCTGTTTTCCACTCTTTCAAAGTCGCATAGAGCAATCTCCAGGTGGTAGCCAAATCTGCAGCCATATTGTCCGCTTTTAGTACCACATCTCATAATCTTCCCCCAACCTCTTTCCATGCTCTAACACTAAAAGCAGTATTTGCATCAGACTCAACATCTGGAGACTTTGCACACAGTAAAACACAACAAAGGGTACAACCAGAAGTCTCAATGCCGTTACTCTTCAACAAAGCTTTCTGTATAGTTAAGCCAAACTGTTCTTAACTTGATAACATATTCCCCGTAATGTCCCAGTGGCTCACCTGTACTCTGGGTGTCCAAATCAGTCAGGCCAGGACCAGACAACTTCTCTCAGCTGCGCTCAGTGTTACACGGGGCTCTGTCCCCAGCAGTTCCCAGCCCTACAGACTAACAGGAAAGGATGATGCCAGGGTCACAAAATGTTACAGAAGACTCAGCCGTGATAGACAAAAACACAACACACAGCCCTAAAAGGCTTCAAGCATCTGCCCCTTCCTTTCCTTCTGCACAACCTTTTATACCCTGCACCTCACAGCCCTTACACCTGTGTGCCCCCGGCTCCCTTTGGTGATTGGGCACTCCACCTGGGCACTCCGTGTCTCATTGCCTCCAATGCTGCTCAGCTGGAGCTCATCAGGGATGAGGATTGGCCACAGCCCCACCCCCAATTACCACAAACTCTGTAACTACAGCACAGTGCAAAGGTGAGCAACTACCATTGGTTCCTCTGGATAAATAAAACATGCCTTCAAAACCACATTCCAAGTGCAGTTGATTAAAGTTAAAAAACAACCAGGCCATAACGAGAGTGGTAATCACACTGGTGCCTGGTGTTGTACAAATCTGTGGCAAGCAAATTTGGTACTCATTAATCAGCCTCAAGATAAAGCAGAAACTTACTGGGAATCAAGAAACCGAAAGTAGTTTTTTCATACTAAATTACTGACCACTTCATTCGCCTCAAAACTCCCACAAAGGAAATTTCCACCCAAAAAATGAACATTTATTTGGGCTTGTTTGTGTTGACTGAACAAGGTTCTAGACATAGCAGAGTGGGTCCTGCTTATTTCTGGATAGGAACATCACACTCAAAACTCGCAAAGACTCCACAAGCAGCACTCATTTTCTCTAAACTCTGACAGGTATTTCTATGATCTCCTGTCATATTCACTCTAATTTAAGTCCTGCAGAGAACATTAGTGAACAGAGCAAAGCCCTCCTATCCCTGCACTCACTATGCCACTTAGAGAAAAATCAGCCTCTTCCCAAATGCCCACACAGGAGACATTCTCACCAGCACCCAGCCTGCCCCACCACTGAGCTGTCCTCACTGCTCCTTACAGCTTCTCCCTGAGGAATGAGGGAACACCTCTGCCACGTGCAGGCACACGGCACAAAATCCCACCCACACAGCACATTCCAAACCCACCTGGGAAGATACAGAGACATGTCCTACCTGCGGCTGTCCTTATCATGGTGGCCATCATATGGTGACGAACAGGAATGTGAGGTGACAATTTCTTCTGTCTCAACCGTACAGCAACAGCTCCCTATGAACTGCAACCTTGCAGGAGAAATATGGGAACAACACTGGAGAAAATCCAAACACAAGGTGCTCCCACACTGAGACAGACTAAAGAACACAACCTCACAAACAACTGTGCAAGAAGACGTCACCTGATTGATTGAACAGGCCAGAAGTCCATCCATTATTTCAGTAACAGCTGGTGGACAGACAGGGACTCAAGATATTGAGTCCATCTGCAAAGGAGGGCCATCTCATCACTGGTCCATACACATCCTGTAAGCACGAGCAGCATCTGCCTCCTAAACCATCACTTCCAGAAAATCCTACCTTTTGAGCCTGGTCTGCTGCTGTAGAGATACTGAGCACAGCACTCGGTGATGATATCTTCAAATTCTGAACTAAGCCTGAAAATTAAAGTTGTTTTCCCTGACTCATTGCAAAAACATAAAAAACAACTAATGAAACATGAATTGGCATCCTGGCGTCTCCAAATCCTGCAAAAGATGTTTTAAGTTATCTTTTGACCACTGCAACCAAGACTAAACTTAGCTATTATTAAAATACAAGGGGAGAAAAAAACTTTTGTTAACAGGCAAACACGGGGAAAAGTAAATGCTTTCACTTTTGATTCTGGAATAATCACGGCTTACAGGAATTGCTAAAGGTTACTGGAAATGCCAAAGAGACCTCAGGTTAAACCAGAAAAAACATGGAACTTTAACAGATTCAGAGTTTCTAAAGAAACAAATTCTTCAGTAGATTGCTGTTGGCCTGAGCAATTCCCATGTGTGTTCAGCATCACACACAGCTCTGGGAAAAAGACAGAGCTTCCCTCTACCACACCTAGCAGATTGGAATGGACAAATGTGTCAGGGATCTTCTCATTCTCTGAATTTTTACCACAAATCAGTCAATTATTTTCACATAGCAGTTCTTCACAGTGTTTTCTTACATGTTTAAACTCTTCCAAGCTGATTTCTGAAGGCAGGAGGCTGGCTGTAGCAACTAAGAAATGCCTGAGGAAGCGTTGGAGGAAAGACCTGGTACTGGGATATTCAGTGCTCCGCAGGAATCTGGTGTGCAGAGGTCCCTAGAAATAGAGTCTTGTCAGGTACCATGAGTTCTTGAGAGTCTAGGCGATGTTTCTAAACCACATAAAATGAAAGAGGCAGGCTAAGAGCTCCATAACCCAGAAGCATGAGGAAAGGAAACCTGTGGGACTGCTTTGGTTTAGCCCATTTAGTGTTGCTGGTGCCAAATGCTCCTGACAGTATATTATTGCATTCACAGTCCTTGCACACCAAGGATCCCAAGCTGTAATTTGAGTTTTTCCTTTATTATTTGTGTGCTCATCTTGCTCTTGCACACAGGAAATCCTCGGCCAGGGATTTGTGGAGAGACCACATCCCAGGATAGGTGAGAGTCCAGGAAACCCTGATCAGGGAGTTTGGTGCACAGTTGTGGACAACAGTGTGCCCTGCCTGTTTGTTCTTCAGCCTAACTGGTGTATTCAAGAGGGAGGGGGTAAGAACATGTGGTGGTTATTGCAGCAGCACATCTCCTCTCCATGCACAGATCCACTGGGCTGGTGGATCCACGCAGGGAATGGAGGCTCTCCCCTCTCTGGTGACAAGTAACAGATCCTTGGCCCAGCTGCTGCATGGCTGTGCCAGGGCAGGTGGGTTGGGAGTGGTTTCAGCCCCTGCTGCTGGAGGCAGCCCCTGGACTCCCCCTCTGGCTGCAGCCTGGCCAGAGCACTCAGTAAATGTCAAGTGCACACCCAGGTGAGTGGCTGTGCCCAACACTGCCCAGCTCCACCCTGTGCCCTCCAGGCTCTGGGGCCCTGAGGATTCACATCCTTCCCTCCAGCTCCAGGGGACCCCGAGGGAGGCAGCTCTTCAGGAGCACCCAGCACTCCGTGCCTCTCTGTGAAAGCTTTTTCTGCAGCCTGGGTCACTCCATTTAGGTCTGCCATGGCCTGAGCTGGTCTTGGCCTTGTGCCTTTTCACCCTAGAGAAGGAAGATCTGGGAGAAGAGGTGTGGGAGAGATGAGTGTGCTGCATTCCACTTCCCCTCCAGTAGAACTCACTGTTTGCAGAGTGATGTGCCCTGCACTTGGAGCACTCTCAGCCCAGGGAGAACAGAGGAAAGGCTTCACTTGTGTGAGTTTATTCACATCATGAAGGCTTTTTTCATTTTTGTTTTTACCCCTTTTTGTCATGCTTGGAAGACCAGCAGGAACAAGTGATACCACAGATTTTTCTTTTGTTCCTGCCTCAGCTCTGGCCCAAAATGGAGCTGTGGGGTTGTGTGTGTCTGTAAGCAATCCTTGAGAAAGCAGGTGTGCAGTCAGAAATGGGAGGCTTGCTCTCAAGACCCTTTGATGGAGATCTATGGATCTGCATAAAATCAGGTTCAGACCAAGCAGCTTTCTTTTCTAAGGACACACAGGGGAAAAAAGCAACACCAGAAGGACCTGGCTCTGCCTTCAGGGAATTCCACTGCTGCAAATTGCACCATCCCAGTGCAGCCTGGGCTATTGCAAAATGAGGTCAGACAGTTTGAAGATTTTATTTAGACAGGTAACAAAGTAAAGCAAGGAGTGAGATTACCTGTAGCCTCAGATTGCATTAGCAGCATCTCACCTGTGCATGCACTGGCTACTCACCTTCTCCCTGGTGTAGTTTCACCACTTCCCTCTTTGTTTTCCTCTCTCCAGAGTGAGCTGGAGATGGTGGACCACCTTGCAAACACGGAGATCAACAGCCAGCGCATTGCTGCTGTGGAAAACTGCTTTGGGGCTTCTGGGCAGCCCTTAGCCTTGCCGGGCAGGGTCCTCCTGGGAGAAGGGATTTTAACCAAAGAATGCCGCAAGAAACCAAAGCCTCGCATATTTTTCCTTCTCAACGACATCCTCGTCTACGGCAGCATCATCACCAACAAGAGGAAGTACAACTCCCAGCACATCATCCCCCTTGAAGATGTCACTCTGGAGACGCTGCCAGACACCTTGCAGATGAAGAACCGCTGGCTGATCAAAACCTCCAAGAAGTCCTTTGTGGTTTCCGCAGCCTCCCTGACGGAGAGGAAGGAGTGGATCAGCCACCTGGAGGAGTGCATCAAGCACCTGCTGACCAAGACGGGCCGGCAGCCCTGCAGGGAGCCCGCGGCCCCCTGGATCCCAGACAAGGCCACGGACATCTGCATGCGCTGCACGCAGACCAAGTTCTCCACGCTCACCCGCCGGCACCACTGCCGCACCACTGAATGGCTCCACTTGAGCCTTTACACAAAAAGAAGGCACACCTGCACATTTTGCTGCCTACAAACTTGTCTTATGAGTGCCCTGAAATCCAAAGTGACCAACTGGCTGGGACATTGAGCACCACAGCATTTGGTGCTGACAGCAATAATGCAGCAGGCACATCACCCACCCACCAGCACTGCTGCTGCCCACTGCTGCCTGCCCGAGTTCCTCAAGTGTTCCTGCCATTTAAAGGAACACACAGATCACTGTGAGGCTTCTTATGAATATTTTAATGAGAACAGAGGACCAGCTGTACAGACCCAATCCGGAATTCAAAGCTCAAACGACAACCTTAATCCTGGGGCTGATAGAACACTGGCAGATTCAGCTCCTCATGCAGATTCAGCTCCCCATTTTTTTAATGTCACACCCTCCCATTCTACGGCACAGGAACCTGGTGAAAACTGAACTGGAAGTGTTCACAGTTTGTTTTCCTGCTACTTGAAATCTTGAAGGATTTGCTTCACCTCTTACATGAAAAGAAAACTTAAGGAGTACAAAAAAAAGGGACAGTGTAGAGATTGGGTCTTTTGAGTTCACAGTAATGTACTTCCTTATAAAACCCTCCTTTGCATGGCTAAAAAAATCAGGTAAAATTCTTCAAATTGGCCTGCTACTTTGGCCCCTTACATGTCATTCACAGGGAAAAAAATTAAAGCACTTGAACAAACAAAATCAAGTCTCCTAAATAAAACAAAAGGACTTTGAAAATTTTCACAATGACACATTAGCCTAGGAGCAGCATGATTCCCTTCAGCAATTAGAATTAGTCCTAATGCAGAGCAATCCAATATTTCATAGCAAGTCAGTATCAGGTTAATGTAGTAATCCAATACTATCCTTACAAAGCCGCATAAAAATAAAAATTATGATAATAATGATAAAAAATTTAAAAACTTCCAAACACCAAAACCAAAAACCCAAGGTTACCTCGATCAGCATATATTTATAATTAACACTGATAATTAGCAATTGTTGTGTTGAAGATTCACAACTTTGGGAGTAAATTGCATCCAGCATAAAAATCCTGCTCTAATAATCCTAGAGGATTATTCTCCATATTTTAGTTGTGCTTTTAGCTCATTGGTAAGGTAAGTGGTCAGCACTCCTAATACCTTCTCTGTGAGAGCAGAATTGGACATTACAAGAGCAATCAGCTGAGCAGCATCAGTCCAGTCTAAGTTCTTGACAACATCCATGGCTTCAGCACAGAGTTTTTCCTTCTCAGCAGCAGGCAATTCCATTAAAATCTGAGGGACTGATTTGAACTGTCCAGAAGTGATCCATCCAATCAATCCACCAACTGCTCCTCCTAGGAAACACAGGGAATCATTAGTTTTTACCAATAAATGCTAAAGTCTGGAATTCCATCCACAGCCTTCACCAACAATGTTCTCACCTTGATTAGAAAGCAACAGAGACTTGTCATCTGTGCCTGCTATATCTAGATTTACACACAATATTCAAAGCATCAGAAAGGATTTTAAAAACTCTTTACATCAACAGCAACCATAAAGAAACCCTTTATACAATCAGCACTAATGGCTTCAGGCTGGAAACCAGAAAGAAAACACTCCCAGGGACACTCTCTTGGGGAAAGCTCTACCGCTAAATTAAACCTTGCCCAAGGAGAAAACCAGAGCAACAACTGCCTGAGCAGTGTCATCATCTCTTGCCAGACACTCCCAGACTGGTGAAAGCTTTCTGCTCCTTTAGGAGTCACTCATTGCACTGTCCAACACACCTGAAGCCCACCCCTGCAGGTGGGCACAGACCAATCCCATCAGACACATTCAGGCTTTCAGCTACCGCGTGCACACCCCGGCCTCCCCAGTGGACAAGACACACTCGGGTAAGTGGAAGGTCCCAGGCTGTCAGGACAAGAGCAGAGGGATGGATCATCTACAGCTGATGTGCCTGTGGCTGCTGAGAAAGCAGCCCAGCAGCCTCCAGGGCTCCCCTCCAGCAGCAGTGTGAGTGCAGCACAGCAATCCACAGGGCTGCCAGCACTGCCCGGAGCACACAGGGCCTGGGACGGAGCAAGGAACGAAGGAAGCAGAGAGAGAGAGAGAGAGAGAGAGAGCCCTCACAATGGAGAGGTGGCAGGACTGACCCTGCCACCAAAACTGCCACCCCAGCCACTGCTCCTAAAAAGTCATCTGTGCACTCACAGGGATGCAGTTTTTCATTAGACAAAACCCTTAACTTGCAGCTTTTACTCAGTTAGCAATTTTCCCCACAATGCCACAGAAATACTTGAAAGCCTACGATGGCCGAATTCATCTTCAAGGGACTTTTATGTGAACATCAATAACTGATTTAGGGGCACTTAATGCAAAAGCCACTGGAAGTACTGATGTCTAAGATTTAACCAGCCTCTTGTTCCTAAAGCAAAGCACACTTACCTACAGCTATTCCAGGGGGGCCTCCCAGCATCCCCCCTAAAAACGCTGATGCACCTGTCAGCATTGCTCCCCGGCCTGAATGTGTGACAGCAGCTTTCATGCCCTTCACCGTGGCAACGTGGCTGAGCAGTTTCATCACATCATCAACACGGATCGGCATCCCGGCGTCCCCAAATCCTGCAAAATATGTTTCAAGTTATCTTGTGACCACTGCAACCGAGACTAAACCTAGCCACTAAAAGAATACAATTTGGAATAACCCCTAGTGTTCAAGGACAAACAAAGAAGATATTAACTACTTTCTCTTTTGATTCTCAGAAGACCAGCCCTTGCACTAAGTGCTGAAGGTCACTGAAACTGCTGACTTGGAATGAGACTTCTGCTATCGGACCAGAAAAAAATGGGTTTATAACAAATTCAGAGTTTCTACAGAATCAAATTCTTCAGTAGATTGCTGTTGGCCTGAGGTTTGTCGAGGTTTTTCAGCCCCTAGAAAACCTCTTCTCCCAGAGTGTGTGAGCAATTCTATCTCAGCCCAAGCCAAGCTGTTTCACAGTCTCGCCTGAACAGATCTCCTCTGTGCAAAGTGAAAGTGGTATCACACCATTTGTCATCTTAAAAATCAATGACTGCAACAGAGAAAGCTTTCTTTGCACTGAGATTGCTGACTGCAAATCACCCATGTCACTGCAGGATCCAAGCAGTGCTGACACTGAAGAAAGGTCTGGCTTTTGGGAAGGGAACACATAAACTCAATGGCTGCAAAGAAGCACAGCAGGAAATTCATCAAATAGTTGATTTCTCTCACTCCTCCATTAATTTTTGGTGGCAGTCTAAAGCAAACATCCAAGTTCACCATTTTACCACTGTTGCTTTTGGGTTCTTGGCAGGCTGATGACACAGCAGGGCTCAGTGGCAGAGCCACACACTCTGCTCCAGAGTCACTTATTATCTCATCCCATTGGGCTCAAGCTCCAAGTCAGGACAAATAGCTGCTCTGTCTATCCTACAGCAGTGGGGAAACACCCCAAAATATACAACTGGCACAGCTCCACCTGCCAGCCCCAGGAATTATGGGAAAAGAGACAATTAAGTGTTTGTTTTTACCCTTCTAACAAGAGGTGAGCAGCTTTCCACTCAGAGTGTCATTCACACCAGCCCCAGGCAGGCTGAAGTGCTGCAGGATTCACTCCCTCCTCTCAGACACTGATTTGGGATTGTGCTCCACCTCTGTGCCACGTCTCAGACCAACCCAAAGTGCTGAAAACAATTGGCATCTCCTCTCTGGGCTGAATTCAGTCAAGGTCTCACGTGAAGCCCTCCAGGATGAAGGCTCTGCAGCACAGGTGGGACAACACAAGTTGGGGAGCTGACAACACAGGGCCCTCACTGAGAGGAAGATAATCAGCTTTGCCCCCTCAAACTGAGGGAGTGCTACAATTTCCCAAAGCAATCTAATTGTACCAGATGTGCAATGATGTTTTATGAGCAGACATTCCTGCAGCTGAAGCAGCAGGTTCCAGCACTGGGATGAAGCTGGCTGCCCAAAGTCACCTGCATTACCATCCTCCACATGGCCAACACTGCGAGGTGTCCCCATGGTCACACAGCAAAGGTGACACAGTGCAAAGGTGACCAGCTACCCTTGGCTTCTCTGGATAAATAAAACACTCCTTTACAACCACATTCAAAGTGCAATTGACTTAAAGCTAAAAAATAGCCAGGCCATAAGGAGAGTGGTAATCACACTGCTGCCTGGTGGTGTATGAATTTCTGACAAGCAAATTTGGAACTCATTAATCAGCCTCAAGATAAAGCAGAACCTTACTGGGATGCAAGAAATTGAAAGTCGGTTTCCATACTCAATTACTGACCATTTCACTCCCCTCAAAACTCCCACAAAGGAAATTTCCACTCACAAAATTAACATTTATCTGGGCTTCTTTGGCTTGACTGAACATGGTTTTTGGCATAGCAGAGTGGGCCCTGCTTATTTCTGGATAGGAACATCACACTCAAAAGTCGCAAAGACCTCACAAGGGGCACTCATTTTCCCTAAACTCTTACAGGTATTTCTATGATCTCCTGTCATATTCACTCTAATTTAAATCCTGCAGAGAATATTAGTGAGCACAGAACGTGAAGCACAGCACATACAAGGGTTTTTTTTTTAAACTGTACTTACAAAGCACTAGTGGGAGCCACTGAAACATAAACCACATCCTAACATGTAAAGTAATCCCAGATTCCTACATTCGGCACACAGAATTATTAATTCCTTGAAAAAATTCAATTTAGTTCCAATTAAGAATCAAGGTGATCAACCAGTCAATTCTCAGTGAGCAGGTATTTATTCAAGAACACACCACAGGGAATTAAAGAATATTTGGACAATACACTAACAATTGCAGCACAGAGACGCCACAGAAGCCTTTAACCTGCTATTAGGATAAGCAGCCCCTACCAATAAAACAACTTTAGTAACTGTCAGCAGCCAGCTCAGTCAGGAAATCAAACAAAAGGCTTATAAAGCTCTGCAGCTGCAAACCTTTAACACCTCACACACTGGTGAGGTCTGTAAGAAGTCAACTGCAAGAATGTGGAGCACAAAGCTGCATCTGACATCAACCTACTGGGCAGAATCACAAGCAAGCAGAAGAGGAAGACTGGCCTGCTGCAAAATGCCAGTGGTGCCACAAAGGAGCAAGGATCCTACCCCAGAACAGCACAGAAGGAGCTGTAAACTTTGTGTGTTAGAGGTACAATCTCATGGTAGTCAAAAACATTTATAAACTCTGATGGTGTAACTGACAAGTAACTTAGTGTGCAATTTGATTCTAGTAACAAATTGTTCCCTACTGAATTCACCCAGACGTTAGGAAACATCAGGATTGCAAAATACTGGATTTGGTCTAATGAAGGGATAGAAATATCAACATCCATAAAACTGATGCAGCTTTCAAAGGTGCTAAGTTCTCACAGCTCCTACTGACTTCACATGGTTCCAAAAATGTTCAGCAGCTCAAGAAAAAAATCCTAAGAGACTCAGAATATGAAGTTGCTGAGAAAGCAAGCTTTGTTTTGCAATGTTTCTGTTTTATTGCAGTTTGATGGCTGCTTTCCTGGTGTCTTTGTGGTCACCCAAATACTGATCCCAAGTCATAGATTCTGCGCTCCAGTTGATGCTCCTTCCCTCACTTTCACCCCAGGGACAGGGGAACACAGTGAGCAATGCTCCTACTCTCCCTATCCAAAGGGAATGCTAAGACCATGTTACAACAGCTCAACCTTGAACCTACAACCAGCAGGTTTTCCCAAGAGGAAAAATGCCATAGAAAGAATTAAACCAACAGTATAATTCCCGACTCACTGAAGGTCCTGCTAACACAAATAACAGAAGAAGGCTCCCAGGTGACTCAGTGGTGTGAACCCCATTTCAGCTGTTCCCAGGTGAACATTCCCATCTCATCACCCTACTGCCCCCTTCACCAAATGATGGCTTCAGACAAGCAAAAGCCCTCCTATCCCTGCACTCACTATCCCACTTAGAGAAAAATCAGCCTCTTCCCAAATGCCCACACAGGAGACATTCTCACCAGCACCCAGCCTGCCCCACCACTGAGCTGTCCTCACTGCTCCTTACAGCTTCTC